ACTTGTGAACACTCAAACTCATGCACCCCTCACATGCTTATGTACACACCCGCACACCTGTGCACATACACCCATCTTTGCACACATTCATATATACACACTTGCACACATTCATGCACACACACAGTTGCATATACACACACTTGTACACATGCATATACACTTGCATGCATGTGCATCCTCATCTTCCGTTGCACACATGTAGACACTCACATGCATTTCTCCCACCTCCAGGATCATTGGCTACACACCTGATCTTGACTCCGAGACAGTAGATGACGCCTTCTCTCGTGCCTTCCAAGTCTGGAGTGATGTGACCCCCCTACAGTTTTCTCGTATCCACGATGGAGAGGCTGACATAATGATTAACTTTGGCCGTTGGGGTAGGAGAATTGGGGCCACCAGGGGTTTAGTATAGAGATGGGGTGATCTAGCCATTAGAGAGGCATGGGGTCCTGAGGGCAGCTGAGATAGGAGAGTAGGTGTAGACACTGGAGTGGCTTAGATGGGAGCAGACATTGGAGAGCCATGTGGATGTGAGGGTAGATGATGTGACATTGGGTTTTCCCTGGAGGCAGTGTAAACCTGAAAGCAAGTGGTCTTTCTGCACTGCCCAACATGGTAGCCCCTAGAAACATAGGGCTGATTACATTTAAATTAGTTACAATCAAATGAAATGTAAAATTCAGTTTCTCAGTCACACTAGCCATGTTGCAAGTGCTCCATAGCCCTGTGGGCCAGGTGTGATGGATTCCAACAGCACAGAGAACATCCCCATCATCGCAGAAAGTTCAGTTGGATAACTCTGGGAGACACTGAGGAACTCTGGGTATGAGAGTGGGTCAGAAACAGCGGAGCAGTGTAGACATGAGAGTAAGTAAGAACCCAGGGTCAACGGTGCCATGTGGGTTGGTGATATGAACACTGGCCATAGTGTAGACATCGTGAGTAGTATAGTGGTGTGGGTAAATGGCACAGCGCAGAAAAGAATGTAGACATATGGGTGGGTGGTGTGGACCTGGGTGGCAAAGTCGGCATGGGGGTTGGTGTTATGGATATTAGTGGTGGACGTGAGGGCACAGTGTAGACCTTAGGATGGTAACAATCAAGGCAGCAACTCTCTACTGACTTGCTGTGTCCTCGGTCCTGGAGAACAGGACAAAGAAGGGGACAGGTGCCAGGTGGGCTATAGGGCTGCAGCTATGGATGTGGTGTGGCTGGGTTCCAGGGCCCAGCGGGGGCAGCTAGAAGCTGAGACCCAGTGTGTTTCAGAGCACGGAGATGGATATCCCTTTGATGGCAAGGATGGACTCCTGGCTCACGCCTTCGCCCCAGGTCCTGGTGTTGGAGGAGACTCCCACTTTGACGACGATGAGATGTGGACCCTGGGAGAAGGACAAGGTAAGCAGGTGACCATCCACAGGCCCAAGCCTCCTCTCTGGTCCTCTGCCTGTCTCCCTGTAACCTAGCAACAAGAACTGTGCCTTCCTTGGCGATCTTGGGCGCCTCTATCTGCTCTAATGGGACCCAAGATATCGATGGGAAGGGGAGAGGAGTCACACAGATTTCTGGTCTCCAAGGAAAGGCCTGGAGAGGTTCACCCCCACCCTGTGTCACTCCTCAGTGGTCCGTGTGAAGTACGGGAATGCTGATGGGGAGTTCTGCAAGTTCCCCTTCCTGTTCAATGGCAAGGAGTACACCAGCTGCACTGACACGGGCCGCAGCGATGGCTTCCTCTGGTGCTCCACCACCTACAACTTTGACAAGGACGGCAAATACGGCTTCTGCCCCCATGAATGTGAGTCCATCTGGCCCCAGGCTTCCCACCTCAGGCTCCAGCCTTCCCAGGCACACCTCTATCCCCCGCCATCTACACCCCCCAAGCCTGGCACTGCCAGTCAGCCAGCATTTCCCCAACTTCCTTCAAACCCCACTGTCCCTCTCACCTGTACAGTTATTTACTTAATGCTGTCATTAAGTCAATTCTGTTGTAAGTATCACCATTAGCAATAAGAGTTGTGAAATCACAGGTTTGACATGCTAAATATTTTTTTTCAAATACATTAGAATGAATTTAGAACTATTCAAATACTTAGTGGTTCTCTGTAGAACCACTCTGTACCCTCCGACCAGAATTGGGGGCTCAAGGGCCTGAGGAGAGGCTTAGGGATGGATCAGAAGCCTAGCAGTGGAATTGGGAGTGAGACTTAGACACCAAGGCTGGTTGGTACCCAACCTGGTTTGGGGATACTGACCCCTGGAATTTCAGTCATTACCCCTGATTCTGATGCTAACTCTGCTAGTGTGTGTGTGTGTGTGTGTGTGTCTGTTCCATCTGCCTCTCTTGGTTGCTGTCTGTCTTTGCTTGTGTCTGCATCTCTCTATTTTGGCAAAGGCATTAGAATTGACTCGGTATNCCTTTGGGCAAATATTCAGAGCAGGAAGGAAGAGGAGAGCACATCTTTTTTGCCTGGCTCAGTGGACAAGTTGGCCAGGAGGGTCAAGGATTGGACCTCAGAAAGTTTCCTCGAACTTCTGCAAAGAAGTCGGAGGGCAGGGGAGAGGTGGCTCGGGAGATGGGGGGACGGAGAGGGGCAGGCGCGGGAGGCCTGGCGCGTGGGGCGGGGGCGGAGGAGCTCCGCGGGTCGGAGAGTGGCCAGCGAGCCCTCCCTCCTGGCGGGGCTCCGAGCTGCGGCTCAGATGTTGTTCTGAGAGCCAGCAAGCCTGGGGCACCCAGGCCTCAGCGTTGCAAAAGCGGGGCTGGGGGCACAGCGGAAGGGCACTACCCCTCACCTTGTCAGTGCCTCAAGCAGGGCACCCCTCAAGATGTTCCTTCTAGCCCACAGGACATCTGCCCCTTATTGCTTTAACCCCCTAGAAATCCCCTATTCTCCATCAGCCTGGTCCCCAACCTGCCCAAGACAGCACTCCCATGCCCCAGGTCACCCTGGGAACCCATTCTCAGGATGTGACACCCCACCCCACCCCACCCCTTTCCCTGCATCTAAGGCTCTGCCCCCTCTGCATAAATGGGTTGGGAGACCTTACATTTCTAGGGGGCTACTACTTTTCTCACCGGTCTGGAGCTTGCTGGCACAGTGATGTGGCTCGTGGTTGGGGGTGAGGGAAGAATTTTGGAGCATTGACAAAGCCACCTGGGTCCCCGCACCTTCCACAGCATATGGAAATCCATGTTGCTCAGAGGGAATGCAGCGGGAGATTTGAGAAGTGGGCTCTGGACTTAGACTGCCTGGCTTCAAATCCCGGAGTGCTCTAACCAACTGGCCTAGTAAATGACGGCAAATGCCGTAACCTCTCAGTCTCAGCTTCTTGTGCAAACGTAGGATGATAACGGTACCTGTTAAAGGAGAGGTAATTTCAACACTTACAAGTGGCACATGGAAGGCACTCGATACGTATTAGTCATTATTATTATTATTATTATTATTATTATTATTATTATTA